GAGAACGAGGCGGCTCTCCGAGGTCAGTCAGCAGGTAGGTGAGCCAGCGAAGCTCCTGTGCAGCCATGGCCCCGGCGTAGATCTCAGCCTCACAACTGGAGCCGAGAACAGAAGACGAGCGGGTAGCCCGCCACGAAACAGAGCCGGAACCAAGGCTGAAGGTGTAACCCTGTGACGACCGCTGCGTAGCCTGGTCGTCAGCCCAAGAAGCGTCTGCGTGCCCAGTGAGGACCACTGGACTCTGCCCTCCAAGCACAAGCCCCATGCCCGACGTACTGCACAAGTAGCGCAACACCCTCTTCGCTGCAGCCATGTGCTCCGGTCTGTGTCTCCCAGGAGCAACATAGCGTGCAAGAATGCTAAGAGGGTATGCAAGGTCAGGTCGTGTGCAGGTCATCAGGTACATGAGGCAGCCAACAAGCTCTGGGTACGGGCCACTCGACTCTACGGACTCATCCGAAGGCAGAGCTGAGAGCGAGTGGCGAGTAGGCAGAGGAGTGGCCTGAGGCGAGGAGTACGTGAAGCCGAAGCGCTGAAGGACCTGCTGCACCATGTGTGACTGAGTCAGGGTAATGGTGCGGCGTGCTCTGTCACGGGTGATCTGCAAGCCAAGGTAGCTGCGCAGTTCACCCAGGTCTGTGCACGTGTGTCTCTTCTGCAGCTCGGACTTCACGTGGGCGAGTCCAGCAGTGTCAGCTGTGGCGAAGACCAAGTCGTCGACGTACACGAGGATGTAGAACGGCGGCAAAGAAGTGTCGGTGCGCAGAAACAGCGACGGGTCGGCAGTAGAGGGAGCAAACCCAAGAGCCGCAAGTGTAGTCCTCAGTGTGTCGTGCCACTCATGCGGTGCCTGGCGGAGACCGTAGACTGGCCGCCGGAGGCTCCACTGGGTGCCAGGAGGAAAAGACCCAGTGAAGCCAGGTGGGCGACGCAGCCAGATCTCCTCGTGCAGGCTGCCCTGCAAGAAAGCAGTGCTGAAGTCAAGAGAGTGCAGCTCGTAGTCGCGGTGAGCAGCTATGTGCAGCAGTACCCGAAGAGTGGTCATCTTCGGGGTGGGAGAGAAGGTCTGAAAGTAGTCAACTCCCTGCCGCTGACTGAAGCCACGAGCCACGTAACGCGCCTTGAAGACAGGCGGAGAACCCGGCGGCCGCTTCACCCTGAAAATCCACATGCCACTGACAATGTTCGCCCCAGGCGGGGGAACCTCGTCAACGTAGGTGCCTGTGGACTTCCAGGAAGCCATCTCTGCGTCCATAGCTGCCTGCCACTGAGAGGAGTAGGGACCCTCTATCGCCTCCGCGTAAGAGCGCGGAGTCGGGATGTCAAGTGCATCCAGGTCTCCCTCAGGGGTAAGCAGTACGGACACGAGATGAGGTGAAGCAGCAGCCAAACACTGGAACTCCTCCTGCCTGTCCTCAAGGACGTCCGTGCCAAGGGCACACTCACCCCCGACGGACGGAGGACAGACAGACTCAGACTCAGCAACAAGACTAGCAGCGTAGTCTAGACGACAGCGAGCAGCAAAGTCGACGAGCTCAGTAACTAGGGCAGACGCAGCAGTGGACTCAAAGGAAGGGTCAGTGACAACAGTAGCAAGGAGACGCGTGACAGTAGGACTGGCAGCACGAAGAGAGTCCGACTCCGGGTCAGGAAGAGCAGGAAGAGAGGACTCAGGAGGAGAAGGCAAAGGGGCACGCAGAGGAGCAGTGGACGGACGCAGAGACATCCGGTGCGTGCCAGGGACAGGAGGAGGACGCTGACGCGAACCACGACCACTAGTGCGAGCAGCACGGACAGGCGACGCAGGGCGAGACGCAGGCTCACGACGCTCAGCAAGACCTCCAGTAGGACCAGTGTAGGGAGAAGGAGCGGGCAGTGGGGAGGCCGGCTGTAACTGTAACTGTGACGGGACAGGCTGTGGACACTCTAAGGGAGGAGGAGGAGGACCAGTAGAAGGCGGGAGACCAAGAACCTGCTGAAGGAGTGGAACGAAGTACGGCCGAGGCCGCGCGGCGACTCCAGACACAGCAGGGACAGCACCAGTACCCCCAGCGGCAGCACCAGCGCCAGCAGCACCTCCAGCTCCAGTACCTCCAGCAGCACCAGTAGCACCCCCAGCAGGACCGCCTCCAGGACCGACAGCAGTAGCCTCAGCGCCAACACCCTCAGCAGCTCCAGCCCCAGTCGTACCCGCAGGCCCAGCAGCTCCAGTACTCCCAGTACGAGCACCTCCGGGACCCGCGGCACCAGCACCCTCAGCAGCCGAAGAACCTCCAGCTCCAGCAGCACGCCTCCAGTGCCGGGCAAACCACTCGCGCAGCTCCTGTGGAGAGAGTGGCTCCCGCCGAGACGAAGCACCCGGAGAACCTCCAGGCTCAGCACCGCCAGACGCCACACGAGCAGGCCCAGCTCCCTCAGGCTCCGCACCCCCAAGCTCAGCACCTCCAGGCGTGGCACCCCAAGGCTCAGCACCCCCAGGCGTAGCACCCCCAGGCTCAGCACCCCCAGGCTCAGCACCCCCAGTAGTAGCACCCCCAGGCTCAGCACCCCCAGGCTCAGGACCCCCAGTAGTAGCACCCTCAGGCTCAGCACCCCCAGGCGTAGCACCCACACGCTCAGCACCCCCAGAGTCAGCACCCCCAGGCTCAGAACCCTCAGCAGCACCAGAGTCACCAGTAACCTCGACAGGCTCGACTGCGTCTACCTGGGACA